CAAATGTTTTCTCTAACATGCATGTTAATTCACAATGGGGAGGGGGGCAGAGCTAGGAAGAACAGAGGTACTTTAGATAGAGGGGAGTGAAGAGAGGGGAGACATTATTACCTATGTGCATATATAACTGCATGACCGATGTGATTGTACAACATGTACAATCAGAAAAATGAGAAACTATCCTCCAYTTACATATGATATATCAAAGTGCATAAATGTATGCTACTATCATGTATAACTAATTAGAACAAATTWWAAAAAAATTAAAAAGCAACCAGGGCTGGTGGTGCACACATGTAGTCCCAACTATTCAGGACCCTGTGAGCTCGGGAACTGGAGACCAGCCTGGGCAACATAGCAAGACCCATCTCAAAAACCAACATCAAAAGCAGCCTATTTCCAAACCTCCTTGGGAGGATAACATGACAAGCAGTAAGCTAGGATCTCCGTTTATGGGTTTTAGAAAACAAGTTTCAGTCTATTCAGGGCCTGAGATACAGCACACCTCCAATCAGGTCCCCAAACTTACCTAGTCACAAACACACCTCAGCCGACTCCCACTTGATTTACAACCCCACAGAGATGAAGCAGCACACACTCTGGGATCCTGTCCCCAAAGAACAAAGCCCCGCAGCCACTTGGTCATTTCCACCCAGCTCCTACGTTGAATCCTCCTCCACAAAATAAAATCACCTCACCCTGGGTCTGCTCTTCGGGGGGAGTCGCTTTCCATGTGAAGTTTTCTTGTAAGTTTTTCTGAATTTCTTCTAGATCATGGAGAATCTCTCCCATCCTCCCTTGTGATGTGTTGAAAGTTTCTAGGTTTAGAGAAGTCAAGCCACGGTCCTCCCCGGAAGACAAGGCCTATTCATCAGAAAACAGCAAATCAATGAAAGTGCCCATTGGAACCCAGCAAATACGACATCCAATGGCCTCAGCCTCCTGGGTCTCTGGGATTACCGGAGTACACCACCATACGTAGYTTCCCATCATTGATTTTAAAAGACAGCACAAGATATGAATAGACAATTCAGGCAGAAATTCAAATTAAAAAATACGGTACACTCGAATATGTTTTCATTTACCTCCTAGCAGGTTTTTTTAAGCTAAGGCTTTCAAAATATGTACCTTTAAAATAATATGGAATAGTATTAGTATAGCAAAATATTAAGGAGTATTTGTTATTTATTTATTTTGAGATGAGGTCTCACTATGTTATTCAGGCTGGTCTTTTTAAAATATATATTTTTTTAGTTGTAAATGGACACAATACCTTTATTTTGTTTTTGGGTGGAAACTGGGGATGGAACCCAGTTCAATGTGGTGCTGGGGATTGAACCCAGTTCCTCACACATGCTAGGCAAGTGCTCTGCCTCTGAGCCACAACCCCAGCCCTTTAGGCTGGTCTTACACTCCTGAGCTCAAATGATCCTCCTGCCTCATCCTCCCAATTGCTGAAATTACCAACTTGCATCACAATACCAGGCTCAAAAGTGCTTATTTCTGAGTGATGGTGTTATGGAGGATTTTATTTTGTCTTTTGTTTGCTTGCTTTTTGTGGAGCTAGGATTGAACTGAGAGCTTCATGAATACTAAGCACAAGCTCTACCACTGAGCTACACTCCCAGCCTAATTCGTTTTCTTTAAATGCTACATACTTTCTGACTTTTTTTTTTTCAATAAACAAGATTTTCTTAGGTAATACACAAATTAAAAAGTTTAGGCCCATCTTAAGGACCTTACAAAATAAATTATACAGCTTCACTGAGATAAGCCATAAAGGTCAGATAATCTCCCAAATCTATCATTGTATATATTCCTTCTCAAAAGCCAATGTAAGGGGGCTGGGGTTGTGGCTCAGCGGTAGAGCACTTGCCTAGGATGGGGGAGGCCCTGGGTTCAATYCTCAGCACCACATTGAGATAAAGGTATTGTGTCCAACTACAACTAAAAAATATAATAATTAATAAAAAAACCAATGTAAGTATATGGCTACATCTAACTCTGACCTGTAACAATGCTTCCTGATTTTTCTTTAACCTCAGATCCTGCTATTTATTCCCCAAGACAGCCCCTCATCTACTCAGTTTTCTTTGGTAACTCTGTATAATCTATCCTCCAATCTTATCACCAATCATAATCTAAGTATTATACTTATTGAGTACTTTCCACATGTTAGATCTCACTATGTTACTCAGGCTGGCCCAGCCTAAGTATGGAATTTGCATAACAACCTCACAAGGCAAGTTTATTTTCCCCATATTACAAAAGAAGTTGAAGTTCATGGAAATTAACTAAATTGCCATGGTGAATATCGTCCTACATGTTCACATTGTTCAAGCATTTTTTTTTTCTTTTGTACTAGGAATTGAATCCAGGGGCACTTTACTCCTGAGTTACATCCCCAGCCCTACTTATTTTTTTTTTTTTTTTTTATTTGAGACAGGGTTTCACTCAGTTGCTGAGGCTGGCCTCAAACTTGCAATCCTCCTGCAACTTGTGATCCTCCTGTAACTTGGGAGACTGAGGCAGGAGGATCACAAGTTCAAGGGCAGCCTTAGCAACTTAGCAAGACCCTTAACAATTTAGTGAGAGCCTATCTCAAAATAAAAAATAGGACTGGGTATGTAGCTCAGTGGTAAAACATGTCTAGGCTCAACCCTTAGTACCAAACAAAAAACCATGGGTGTTGGGGGGACCACTTTTTTGGGAGGGAGAGGGTAGTTAGAAAGGGATCTACAATTCAGCCTTGAAGAATTCTAGCATTTAATTGCTCAGAGAGAGGGAGGGAGAGAGAGAGAGAGAGAGAGAGAGAGAGTGCCTACAAAACACACTGAAAGGAACCCACCAGAAAATGATGGAGGAAAAAAACAGAAAATTTGTGTCCCAAAAGCTAAGAAGTTAAAGCCGGAGAAAAACAAAATGAAAAAGTGCTAAGAGCGTCAAGGCAAATGATGTGATCAACTATACCAAGGCTGCTGAAAGGTCAATGAAGATAAGAACCAGAATGTCTATAAACCTGACCTACAGGCCTCTGTGATCTTAGAGAGAGTTTGTTAGATGGAGTGGTAAAGACAAATCTTAGTCCACTTGGAGCTTCTGTAACTCATATCCAGCATGCCAAACTTCCAGTCATTCATGTTTGGTTGAGATTAAGGGTGTGGCTCAGAGCTAGAGCATTTGCCTAGCATGAGTGAGGCCCTGGGTTCCATTCCCAGTACCTTCCTCCTCCCCATACAGTTGAGACTTATTGGATCTGGAGTCCTCAAACATATTCATATTGTTCTCTTGGAAGCCATCCCTAGCCCTACCCTGTTTCTCAACTTTTTCTCACCCAGCTGAGCCTACCGTGCTGACAATGTTGACTTGTCCAGATTCTGAGAGAGGTGTCTGCCTCTGGAGTCTCTTGACAATGTCCACCAGCTGACCCACCAGGTCCGTCAGCTTCTGGACGACTTCTGTGATGTTTTCCGGTACTGTCGCCTTTAAAAGAGCAAAGCTGGGCTTTGGGGGTCCTATAAAACTGGACCTGGGAACCAGCACTAAATAAAGTGAACCGTAAACTCTGTGGTACTAGCATAAAGACAAGCATATAGACCAATGGAGAATATAGAATGGAGAGCCAAGAAATAAGTGCTCACATATACGGTCAAATTAGTATTATTTTATTTATTTACTTATTTATTTGCCATACTGGGGGGTTGAACCCAGGGCCTCATAAATGTTAAGGAAGGGCTATACCTCAAATGATTTTTTTTAATATATATTTTTTTAGTTATAGAGGAACACAATACCTTTATTTATTTACTTTTATGTGGTGTTGAGGATTGAACCCAGTGCCTCATACCTGGGAGGCAAGTGGTCTACCCCTGAGCCACAACCCCAGCCCCTCAGATGATTTTTGACAAAGAGTGTCAAGACTATTCAATGGGGGAAAGGAGTCTTTTCAATAAATGGTACTGGGGAAACCAGATATCCATAYGCAAAAATCAACTCAAAAAGCTGAGGGTGTTGCTCAGTGTGCTCAGTGGTAAAGTGCATGCTTAGCATGTGTGAGGCTCTGGATTCTATATTCTAACACACACACACACACACACACACACACACCCCTCAAAATCTGTCAAAGACCTAAATGTGAGGCCTAAAACAATACAATTTTAAGAAGAAAACAGGACAAAGACTTCATAACATTGGATTTGGCAATAATTTCTTGAATATAACACCAAAGGTATAGGCAACAAAAGAAAAAATATAGATTCGACATAAGAAATTATTTAAAAAATATACCTTGGG